ATCTTTTCTCCATTTATCATGACGTTGCTTATTGGTCCAGCTGTGAGGATTTTTGTTTTCTTTATGTTGAGGTGTAATCCATACCGAAGGCTGTGGTCTTTGATACTTATCAGTAACTGCTTCAAGTCCTCTTCACTTTCAGCAAGCAAGGTTGTGTCATCTGCATAACACAGGTTGTTAATGAGTCTTCCTCCAATCCTGATGCCATGTTCTTCTTCATGTAGTCCAGCTTCTAGGATTATTTGCTGAGCATACAGATTAAGTATGGTGCTCACGTTTTTCGATTTTAAACCACGCAGCATCCCCTTGTTCTGTTCAAGCTTTCCATCTCCACAGGCGGGCTGATAAACACTGTCGTGCACAAACATCAAATACACCAGCGGTATTTTTAAGACTGAAAGTCAAAGCAGAGGCGACAGGGTGGCACACAGGACAGACTTGGGACACTGGGCAAGCAGGGAGCAGGACAGACGCGGAACAGGGTCTGGAGGGCCCTCAACGAGTAGGCCAGCGACCCTGGCAGCACCCACCTTGCATCCAGAAATAGTTCCTGAGGCCTTGACAGTGCAAGCACTGCTGTCGGCGCTGAGAAATAAGCACTTAGCAAAGCAAGTGCTTTCCCGTGAACGCCCATCCCGGTGCGCAGGGCAGTCGCAACCAGTCCCTTGCCTGGTGCCCGCAGCTACGCCGAGAGGAACACAGGAGGGTGAGAAGCTAATGGGCTTGCTGTACGAATGGCTTCCAGATATATTTCTTTCACCACTGTGTCCTTACGGACCGCAGCAGGGAGGGAGACCAACGACGGGGATCCAAGAACACTGGGGAAATGAGGTTCCCCGGGGAGGCCTCTTGTGTGGGGGACCAGCCCTGTGGTGTAGATGCCGTGTAGGGGACGGGCCATGCTGCGTGGACGCCGTGAGGGGGGACGGGCCGCACTGTGTGGACGCCGTGAGGGGGGACGGGCCGCGCTGTGTGGACGCCGTGAGGGGGGACGGGCCGCGCTGTGTGGATACTGTGAGGGGGGACGGGCTGCGCTGTGTGGATGCTGTGAGGGGGACGGGCCGTACCGTGTAGACACTCTGAGAGGGGACAGGCCGTACTGTGTGGATGCTGTGAGGGGGGACGGGCCGTGCTGTGTAGACGCTCTGAGAGGGGATAGGCCGCGCTGCCTGGACGCCGTGACGGGGGACGGGCCGCGCTGTGTAGCTGCCGTTGGTGGGGGGAGGATGGGCTATGCTGTGTAGACGCCGTGGAAGGGAAGGGGAGACGAACTGTACCGTGTGGACGCCGTGTGGGACCGACACAGTGTGTCCGATGAGACCCAGACCGAGCCCCGACCGACTCACCCACACCAGGGGCTGCAGCTGCAGCTCTCGCTGCGCCCCCGCCATAGCCCTCGAGCCCTGGCCTGCTGTGGAGGGTGGCTCCCTCAGGCCTATGCTCCGCCCACAGCACGCTCTTCCCGGGAGGGGCCAGCTAACGGGCCCCGCCCCGGAAAGGCCCCGCCCCGGAAAGGCCCCGCCCCGGAAAGGCCCCGCCCCGGAAAGGCCCCGCCCCGGAAAGGCCCGGCTACACTGGTTCCCCACATGCCTGGCTTCCTGGGGCTCAAAAACACGATGTCCACTCTCTGGTTGCTCAGACGCGCAATCTTGGGATTCTAGACTCCTCTGTCTTATCCCACAGCCAATGTTCCAACGCACCCTACGGCTTTCAAAATGCTTACAGCTCCCACCCCGTCACGACGACGACCCCGCTACCTGGACCATCACAGTGGCCTGTAAAATAAATCAGGCCACTCCTTCCACGGCTTCCCACCCCGCTCAGACGGAAAACCCGAGAACTCCAGCAGCCAGCGGCTCGGGCCTGCAAGTCCTCCTGCTGCTCCCCTGCTGTCTCGGCTCCACAGGTCTCCTCGCTGCTCCCTGAAGGCAAAGCACGCTCCCACCCCATGCCTCTGCACCTCTTCTCGGCCTGGGGTGCTCTCCTGAGATATCCCCATGGCTTGCCCGACCCTTCCTCCGGATTCGGATCAAATGACCCCCCACTAGAGAGGACTTACACTGCCTCACTGTTCCCAATAGCACCCATCGCATGAGACAGGCCACACATATATCCACCCCTCACCTACCTCATCCCATGGGACAGGCCACACACCCACCCCTCACCTACCTCATCCCATGGGACAGGCCACACATACATCCACCGCTCACCCTACCTCGTCCCATGGGACAGGCCACACACATCCCCACCCCTCCCCTGCTCCATTCCATGGGACAAGCCACACATAGCCACCCCTCACCTACCTCATCCCATGGGACAGGCCACACACATCCCCACCCCTCCCCTGCTCCATTCCATGGGACAAGCCACACATAGTCACCCCTCACCTGCCTCATCCCATGGGACAGGCCACAAATATACCCACCGCTCACCCTACCTCGTCCCATGGGACAGGCCACACACATCCCCACACCTCACCTGCTCCATTCCATGGGACAAGCCACACATAGTCACCCCTCACCTGCCTCATCCCATGGGATGGGCCACACAGGACTGTTTACTGCCCTTCACCTAGTGTGTCGTGCAGCTCACAGGGTGGGCACCTTGCCAGTGAATGGCACGTGGGAGGGGCTCTGGTTTAAGTTTTGCTGAATAACTGAATCAAACATTGGAAGAGACAGGGTACCGGAAATGAGGACACACGGTGGACATGTCAGATCCGCCACCATCACAGTCGTGTATACTGCTTCCTGCCTGCCTTCCTGACACTGCCAGTCCTGGTATTCCTGCTCATCCTTCTTTCCAACCAAGAAAACAAGTCCCCTCACCCGAACCATTCACTGAGACCCCAGTGGCCCTGACCTCAGCAGACTGGCCATTTGGGGGCTACACATCATCTCACAGGCCATGTTAGCTGAGGTTCTCTCTCAGGAAACTGGACAAGAAACATGGAGAAGGGGATGGCAGTTGAAGCTAGTGGAGAACCGGCGTGACCCACAGGAAAGGCAGGCAGGAGGACGGGATGCAGGGAGGTGAGCAGCAGAGCTGAATCATGTTCTTGCTGAAACACTGGAGTGTCAACCTGTGTTGCTGTAGTCCCTGGGGTTTGAAATCCAGCCATCCCGCCATGCCAGACTGCGTGAGGCCGGCTCCTACTGCACTTCTTATCTTCATGGGCCCAAACTAACATTTTCCTTGTCACTCATGTATTTTTATAGTCAAACCTCCCCTCCAATCTAACCAGGGAACCTTATTTGTAAAACTTACTTGTGACTGGGTGTGTGCTGGATTTCAACAAGGCAATGATGGGCCGCGTGACCGAGACACAGTCCACACGACCATTTGGGACTGTGGTGTGCAAAGTGGAAATCATCTGAAGCTGGGGGTGACGGGTGAGACCCACGAGAAAGTTACCACAAGTTTCAGTCAGCCACACGACCGTGGCAGAGAACACTTGCCACACACTGAGACATTGCCTGGTACGTGAACGATACTCAATAACGTTTAATGAATGAATGGGCAGACGGAAGGAAGCGGTAGGGGAGAAGCTGGCATTACAAATATAAACTGTCAGCACTATTAAAATAGCAAATACACTTAAATACATACAAAGTTTATTAAAAATAGGTTGCAACCAAAATACAGTAGAAATGGAAAACTCCAGCAGTTTTGATGTTTTTTCCATAATAATGCACAATTATGAAAAGCACTTTTACACATATTCACATTTGACCTAACTGTCCAAAGACGGCCAAATCCACTTGTTTGCAGGTTGTACAAATCTCCTTGCATGTCGATATTTACATGTACTTGCGTGCATTTGTTGTTCTCTATATTAACCCAACAGTAACTCATCTGCATCTTTCCTTCAGGGGCAGTGTGGATCCCGTCACCGTAGGGCAGCCAGTGTTCTCAAGGTATTTGGGAGAAGCTTGCTTTTCCTCGAGCTTCCAGAGCAAGCGAGCAAATCCTTCATAAACACTTAGGACCATTTTGCTCTCTTACTTAAACAAGGGAAATGGGAAAACACTTTCAAATAAGAACCCTGATATACGTAGAAAAAATATTTACACTCGGCGTCATTATTTATCATACAACTCTTATTAAAAGTCATTCCTAAGGCAGTGAGAGCCTCTATCTCTTCTATTTGAAAGTGTGCATCTTTTCCTAACATACATATTTGTAAGAGAACAATATGGTACAGAAAATCATCTAAACCCCACATCAGAACTTTGTCAAATAGAAAATCTGCTCAATCACAAAGTAATTTACCATTTCAACATCACACAATAAAACAGAGGTCCTTCTCCCCAACATCAGCCATATATCCACAGCTGAAGAAATGACAGTGGTAACTAATAATTCAACAAATTAAATTAAATTAGTCTATTATACTATGAAAAATAGCTTGAACTGCCTGCCATGAGTTATTCTTACAATAATTAAGTTACAAATGCCATATGTAATTGAGTGCTTGCCTTTCCCTGAAAGTATATTGATGTAAATCTATTTCTTTGTCCATTTAAAGTTTCTCAGCAGCAGCCGTGCCTAAAAGTCACCTATGAGTCTCCCATTCTTCCGGGGTCCTACTCACGTGAGCAACACCGTCCTTTGATACTGCTCAGAATATCTGAAATATTTGTTAACTTCCTAACCTAACTGCCACCTTCAAAATCACCAATGATGTATCCGTCTAACAATATCTGGTATCTATGAAAATAAACCCCCCCCAAGCATAAACCCTCAGTCTTTTCTCCTCTGGGAACGCATTTTTAAATCAAATACTTCCAAGCGATTGGGGGGCGTGCACGCTGAGGAACAAGACGAAGCAGTCTCAGCTCTGCCTCCCTTTACAGACAGGAGGCGCCGTCTGACCTGCCCCATTGCTTCAGGCAAAGAGGACCAGAAAGGACACCACAAGAGTGCCGTCAGCGGCTGCCTTCACACGCTCTCCTGGGATGTGGTCTGCAGTTCAAGCTATTCTCTGACAGCTAAAATGAAGTGTTTTTGGGAAAAAAAAAAAAAAAAACAGAAATAGAACTTCATTGTCTGTGCTCCCTGGTCAATTATGGGGGGAAGGCAAGGAAGAAAGGAGAAACATCTATTCCGCCCCTTTTGGAACTCAGATTCCAAAAAAGAAACTAACAAAAAAAGTTATCTTCGTGTGATTCAGATCATTAAACAAAATAAGACAGTGTTTAAACTGTATAAATGACAATCTCTTGGTAAAGTAAAATAAAATCTCTTGGAATTGCAACATCTCTAAATCTCAACCGTTTCAGAAACAGAAATTACAAATCACTTTAAAACGTGGCCTCCCCTCCCCTCCTCTAAGGTCACCCCCGCACAACCACCCTGGGAGGGTGGTGGGGTCAACTCCAGCTCCTTTGCCCTTCCGTCATTTGGTGTTCAGTTCATTTTCCAGTTCTGTTAATTTCCGTGAAGCTTTCACTTTATTGGACACGTCTTGGCCTTGGGAGAAGAGACGCTGGCGCTCTTTGAATGTCAAGTTTTCAGGGGCTCCAGAAACCCCAGGCAAGTTGGCATCTTGGCTGCACAGGGGGGAGGTGCAAATGGTTATACGTCAAAACAGAAGGAACTTGTCAATGATTATGCAAGTCTGCATAATGTACAATTAAGTAATATTTTAGTTTCTACATGTGTAATTCAGTGACACTGATTACATTCTTCAAATTGTGCAACCACTCTCACCCTCCTTTTCCAAGTTGTTCCTCCCCCGTTCACATAAACTCACTGCCCCTTAAGGTTCCTATCTAATCCTTTGAGGTACTGTTGTCAATTCGATACCATATCAATAGATCTTAAAAGAGCATAATGTTCAAGGCAGACATTCTTTACTAGTTAAGCTAAACTACTGTTTGGTTTTAAGAAAACTTAAGGGGGTATTTTTGGTTTAAGGCTTAAAGATCATCCCAAAGCAATAGTTTTGGGGGTTCATCTAACCTCCAAGACTCCAGAAAGTCTGGATTCCATAAGAATTTTCAAATTTGTTCTACATTTTCCCTCTTTTGATGAGGATTATCCCATAGAATCTTTTTGATCAAAATGTTCAGTAATGGTAGCCAGGTACCATCCAGTTCTGGTCTCATGGCAAAGGAAGCATTTGTACACGGCGACAACTAGCCACACATCCATTTCCTCTTCCTATTCTTAAGTAAGATTTCCAGTAAGAGACTATTTTTTGTTAAATGCTGCCATAACCTTTCCTATAATGAAAATTATTGGGACTGTATTTAAACCCAGGTAGACGAAGGACAGGGATGGTCTCCTTACTAATGTGTTAACCTCCTCCAGTCATATCTAATTCCCAAAATGCTAATAATTTTTAGCAAGAAGGTAATTTCTGCAAGTTAAACAAGTTCAACTGAAGGGCTATAGTTTCAGAATAAAGCATTTTAATAAATCCTGTGTGTATACAAGGGGCATCTATAAATATACCCGATTTAATAATAATTATATCTATAGAATAATAACAAATACATCTAACTTATTTATAGTGCGATACTGACAATTTTCCTGATTCGTTCAACTTCAAAGCTGTTAAGAACTGCCTGGAAAACAGAGTTTCCAATTATATCCGAGGTGAAGGCACTTGGTGAAGGTGCCGAGCCCGCCGGGATTCTACACCATTAGGGCAGGTCTTAGGCAGCCGAGCAACACTCATGTGTTGCTCCAACATTTCTGCCCCTCCCCAGTGGAAGGGAACGTGGTATGGCCACTGCCCCATGTCCTGAAACAGCACAATGTCAGCAACACTAACTAAAAACGCCTGTACGTGCAGACAGCTTTACATCAGGACACGTGAACTGATAGGAAGTCTCCAAAATCCTAGCCAGCCACCTTCAGCCTCACACAAAAAAGGCATGAGGAATAGGGAAAGTAATCCATTCTGTACGCAGTTAACAAGCAGGGCAACTGTAAATACCTTTTAGACCATTTGTCTCTGGGATCTCGGTAAACATCATGAGTGCTAACAGCTGTTCCAGTAGATCCCGTGTAAGAGTTTGGTCCTTTTCCATAAAAGACAAAGTCAAAGTTAGAGTACTTGCCTTATATCCAACACTTTAGTGCTGATGAAGATGCAGTGCCCACAGAAATATAAGACATCTTTAATTACCAAATAAATAAGAAAACAAAACCTCCTTCATCGTTGATAAAGGATTCACCAGTTTAAAACTCACATCTCTTAGTGGCCTGAGTAATCCAATCACTACCCTCAAAAAGTGCTAAATCACTGACCTCATGCCCTGTATCACTCACTAGAGGGGAAAACAACGTAGGTCTTAGGTACTGATGGATATACGGATCCAAAAGGTTTACATCAAATAACATGCATAATTACCGTGACTTCAGGAGAAAAATCCACAAAAGAGTTAATGAGGAGATGAACAAATCCTTTTGGATATACTCCTGACACTAAGAATCTTCTTACTAAAAATCATTGAGAGCAAAATGTGACTCAAAGATTAGGAAGTAATCATACAACTGAAGCTCCTCCTTCTGAGACAGCTATTGGTTTGTTTTTTAAAAATAAATGGCTAAAATTATTAAAACAAAATAAAAACTTTAAATAAAAAAAAAAACCTGCCAAAAGACCTAGCATTTAGATACTAGTGCCAGCGCTGCAGATTCCAAACCAATAACAAGGACAAAGATAAGCTGCAAAGCAGCACAGCCTGATGGGAAGACAGCTGGCCCCAAGGTGTGGGTTCCAGTTCAGCCTCTCACCAGCTGTGCACCCTCGGGGAGTTCCTAGGTTTCCGCCCTCAGAACAACAACATCTGTCCTGTCTACTTCCAAAGAGAGGATGCAGGTAAGAAGCTTTAGAAACTCTTCAAGAAGTATCTAAGTATATTATCATCATATTATTAAAACCATAATGCATTAAATCAGCACTAATGTATTTCTATCAGTTGTAAAATCAGCAAGAAAAAAATAATTTCACATTTGAAAAATCTCTTGCTTACAATATGTTGTTGCTGGGTGCCATTGAGTCAATTTTTGACTCATAGAGACCCCATGTGACAGAGCAGAACTGCCCCATAGTTTCCTAGGCTGTAACCTTTATGGGAGCAGATCACCAGGTCTTTCTCCTAAAGAGCCACTGGGTGGGTTTGAAATTACCAACCTTTCAGTTAGCAGCCGAGTACTTAACCATTGCACCACCAGGGCTCCTTCACAATAATACAGGCTTTGATAATAAATGCTCAAAATATTCAGCAAATATTGACATCACTGAGTATTGGATTAGACAGGTCACAAAATTATTATATTTTTACATTTAAATTATCCTTTTTAGACAAGCTGCACAAAAATGAATTTTTATGCCTCTTTTCTCTAAAAAGGACCTCCCACGCAAACTTGTATAGAACATTTTAGGCACAGCTAGTTCTTCTCTGTGACACCCATGGCACTGCATCTCCACGTTGTATTCATGTAACACAGTTCCCACAATCACTGTACAAGAAATCCCTCAGCAAAGGCTCAGAAGATCAGACAGGAATCCACCTCTAATGTAAGGTGACACAGAGCAGGCCCTTGAGGAAAATTATTTGCATGGTGGGATTTTTTTCGATTCTAATTTTTTTCTTAATTTTGTTTGTTTTTAAAAAACATTGTGTTGGATCTTTTGAGCTTTGCTTTAAGGATGATACTAGCTTCTTCCACTGGTTAAAAGATCAATCCTTCAACTTTTTAAAACTTTTTCAAAATTTAAAAAACTTTTAAAGTATCAAACACTTTCAATTGACTTTATACGAATTCACATATTTCACAGGAGTTTCTAAGAGCTGCAGTAACGAGTATTCTGGCTGAGCTGCTCGACTGAACTCGTCATGCATTCCAGCACATGCGCTCATTCCCTGCAGCGCCCAGTGGAAGAAGCCAGGTGCCGTCTGCAGAAGCGTGCTTTACCAGGGGCTCCCACAGACAGGGAGCTAAGAAAGAACGCGCCGATGTTAGTGAGATGAAGAGATGGCAAGACCAGAGTGCAATCTGTGTTTGGTGCAAACAGCTCTGTACTTTACGAAGGAAGTCTTCCAGGAAGCCCACACAATCAGACGCAGGATTAACCTGCTCCCGGGCGGAGTTTGGGGTGTGAGATAAAATCAGGGTTAGTAGTGTGACTGACAGCCAGGATGGTTAGAAGTGATGTCTAATTATGGTATTCTCAACTGTCACCAAAACCTCCTTTGTGACATGCCACTTACAAAACATTTATAGTTCAGCTTATAATTTGATACAAGGAGACTGCTGGCATCTCCCTTCAAAACTTGCTATTATTCCATAAATGTCTCTAAAAGGCACCAAACTCTAGATATTTACAATAAAAATTTTACAGAAAGATGTAATTTTGGCTTTCAGAGTGACTCAACCTAAATATAGCCAAATACTAAACCTTCAAAGAGGATCTAAGATCTGATCAGGGTACAAAAAAAGACAGAATTCTGGCAAAGCCCACTTGCTATGTCAGAGTCATGGTTAGACTAGTTTTTAGATTACCAGCAAGTGGGACTGTAAAAGGAAAATAAATTGCTTATTTTAGAAAAAAAGTAATTTTCAACTTCTTCCAGAACTGTTGAGTCCCTGCATGGTATCACTCAGAATCTGGGAGACTGTCACGCTCATTCAAAGTGATGGTGCTGTGAGAATGCTCCCTGCCAGAACTCGTTCCCGTTCAGGTAGTGAGAGGAGTCTCAACTCGGAACCTCCCAGTTACAGGTCTGTGTTTAACGTGCCATCCAGTGCCGGCTCGTGAGCCGCTGCACGTCTGGGGGATGGCTTCTGGGCCCTGCACCATCAGAACACGAGGCTCTGTGGTTCAGCTTAGAGGCTATGGCTAAGGTGACTACGTGCCGACAACGGCTTGCTGCTAGGGCTGTGATGTGCTGAGACGCAGGGTGACGGAAGAGTGCTGCGAGTCAGAAAACGGCGGCGGGACCCGTCCTTTCAGACTGACTCCGTTCCCTGGACTGCCACAAGCAGCCTGGGCATCAGCGCTGCTAGGCAACACCGTTACCCAGCTGGCAGGGTGTGTCAACTATGCTCACTGAGCCCCCCACTGAAGGGGTAAGCCTTTCCATAAGCCATGACCTCGTGGCATTTAATCCAGAACAAAAAGTTCTACTTACGCTATGTAACAGAAACTTAACATGTAACCACAGCATTACTCATAAGCTGAAATGCATCTTCAGAGACATCAAAGTGCACGGCAAAGGTGCTTGTTCAACCCAATATGAGGATTATTTGGAGAGGTGGAGAATGACAGCCAAGACCAACAGTACTTCAATGGATTTAGGGGCTGACTGTGGAGAGCTGATCACTGGAGTAATTGAGAAGGGCTGATTGTGGAGAGCTGATCACAGCAATAATTGAGGACTGATTGTGGACAGGTGATCACGGCAATAATCGAGAAGGACTGATTGTGGACAGCTGATCAAAGAAGTGTGGCTTTTAAAGCGTAAGAGACTGGCGAGTTCTCACACATTTACAGAAAAGCCATGAACACAGACATCCGATTGGAGGCGGGGCATCACCAGCCAGGCACAGGGATCAGTGGAATCGAACCCCACTGTGCACGGTGATCTGGGAGACACAGTGGGGAGTGCACAGACAGCGGCCGAGACTCCAATCGGGAAGACAGGAGAGGGAGTGATTGAGCTTTATCTTTCCGCTCTACCTTTGGAGCTGCTGGGACGGTAGAAGTTCGGTTTTTTTGGAGGGGGTGGGGGCTGGCCTGCTTTGTGGGCAGTACTGTTGGCTTTGACCGAGGGTGGCTGGAATGAGTTGGAAAGAAAGATGCCATCGGAGACGGGGCGCGGCTGGCAGGAGGGCTGCGGCTTTGGGGCGGCGGCGGGAAGAAGGTCCCCGTAAGACTTTCTCGTGCTGGCGTACTTATCCTGACCTGCCAGGCCGGAATCCTCCTCCTCCTCCTCCTCCTCATTGTATGCAACAAACTTGGCAGTGTACAGCGTGTCAGGCGAGAGGACCTGCGTTTTGAGGTAGGAGGTGTTGCGCTGAGGCGGGGGAGGAGGAGCGCTAGGCGCGGGGGCTGGGCACGGGAGCTGGTAGTCCCGTGGAGGCGGCGGTCTGCACAGACCCGGCTCGTCCGGCTCCAGCAGCCTCCGCTCTGCCTCGTCATGCTGTCGGCGCCGCTCGGCCTCCAGGCGGCTGTAATACCCCTCCTCCTGGCGCCTCTGCAGGCGAAATAAACGGAAGTGAGCGTCAGCGGGACGGCAGGGCCCCTGCTCCCCCCCGAAAGCACCCCCCACGAGAATAACGGCCACGCGTGGGGGAACACCCCACCACGACTGCTGCCGGGGAGACAGGCAGATGCAAATGGCCTTCTAGAGACTTAAGACTAGGAAACTGCTCAAAGGCATGGAGTGGATTAACCATCAGGTGCGTCCAGGCCCCACTCCCAGCTAGGACATCTCTGTCCACTTCAAGTGATCTGACTAGCCTCTCCTTTCTGCTCCCGGTAAAACAACTTACCTGTGGCTGCTGTGTTTCGAGAGCAAATACAAGTAAAATAAGCTATACTGGCTTTCTAGGGCTGGCACTTTCAGGAGTGTGAACTTACACACTTTTCCGTTAAACACAAGTGGACTCAGGAGACTTCATCCCTTGCAGGAAGCGTGGGATTGGGCCATCTAGTTTACCCCAGTTAGGCAGAGGGAGGCCAGGAGGAAACAGCTGGGAGCACAACCTGTGTTCCCCCAAAGCAATCGTCTAACACATGCATGTCCACGGTTCTTAATGTCTATTCCAGTCTCAAGAAACTCCCAACAGACAGAGAATGAGAGAGCCAGGCGTTAACAGGAAGAGCAAAGAGAAATTCAAATATATTTTGACACATAGTGTACATTTCTTCTGACATACATCTGCACGAACTACAGTCAACAGTGGTGAAATTATTTTAACAATTAAAAAAGGTAACAGCGCAGTTTTGTTAGATTGACATTAAGTTTAGAGTACAAGAAAACAGTAAGAGAGAAAGGGGGTGGGAAAGAGCAGACATCATCACCTGCCTTCGCCTGAAGAGTGGTCAGTATTCCAGAATGGAGTACAACTAATGTCACAGCCACTCACCCAAAGATCACTACTTTAGGGACCCTGCTGGCATGAGGGTAACAGCTTCTAGTCCCAACTTCATTTATGCCCATGTGTCTCGCTACTACCCCCAGAGCTACACACACACACACAGTGACACACATATCCAGACACTGAGAACACACACACCCACTGAGGACACACACTGAGAACACACCCACCACACTGAGGACACACACTGAGAACACACCCACCCACACTGAAGACACATGCACACTGGGGGGACACACACACACA